TTGCATTGGTCGGGTTGGGGTTTGAACCCACATATAGATTTTGAAATATTGAATTGCTCATTGAGATAACCATTGAGGCGGACTGGGTCTCTGTATGTTTTAGGGGACTGCTTTCTTTTGAACTGTATCCGCATCAGGCTGCTGGCATGTCAGGATGTGCCTGTGTGTCAAAAGCTAAGACCACCAGTCCCCCAGCTGCCGAACCCCCCCAGTCCCTGTGAGTTAGGGCCGGGTTCTACGGAGGGGCGGCGACCGTTCGTCACCGGCGAATCCAATCCCGCCATTTGCAAGCGGTAACTTTGACGATTTTTGTAGCTCAGAGGATTTCATCAAATCGTCTGAAAATTTGGGTCGGTAGCTTAGGTTGTGATATTTCAAGGAAAAATATGAGAAAAAAAAAAAAAATCATTTGTACCGTGAAATATGCGCCGCGCCGATTCGCTTTTTTTTTCGCGAAGTCAATTTACGTGGCCCGCCCGGTCCAATCTCGCCATTTGCAAGCGGTAACTTTGGCGATTCTTGCAGCTCAGAATAATTCATAAAATCGCCTGAAACTTTGTGGATCCATAGACTAAGTGGTGATCTTTCAAATAAAAATATCAGAAAAATTAAACAAAATCATTTTGACCGTGAAATATGCGCCGCGCCGATTCGTTTTTTTTTCGCGAAGTCAATTTTCGTGGCCCGGCCGGTCCAATCCCACCATTTGCAAGGGGTAACTTTGGCGATTTTTATAGCTCAGAAGAATGCATCAAATCGCCTGAAACTTTGTGAGTCCGTAGATTAAGTCGTGTTCTTTCAAGGAAAAATATCAGAAAAAATAAAACAAACCATTTTGACCATGAAATAAGCGCTGCGCCGACTTTTGTTTTTCTTTTCACAAATTCAATTTTCAAGGCCCGACCGGTTTTCCGTTCTGTACTACAGGTACCCGTCGTGAAACGCCGCTACCGGTAACCCCGAGGTATTTTACGCCGGGGGGAATGGTCGTCTAATGTTGCACAGTGTGGTAGGCGGGTCAATAATGATTTTTTTATTTTTATTTTTTGAAGGCTCATTCTTTTAAACCACAACTCCCTCCGACGTCAAGAAATTCGGGGGGCCGGTAACACGGTTTCATCAGGGCTGCCGGTAGTATAGTGTGGAGAACCGAAAGAGTGGCAAAAACTGAAAATGCATTGAATTCCGAGAAACAACGGACAGGTAGACAGCGTGCGACCCTGCCCGACTGCCCGCGTGTGCGCCTCGAGGTTTGTCGTTTCCCGCTGCCACGACCTTTTTTTTTTTTTTTTTCGTTATTTCCCGCTTTCGTGTTTTCTTTTGTTTTTTTTTTTTCGTCGCGGGCTCTTTTTAATTTTGTTGCAAACACAGACACAAACACGTAACACGCACACAAACACGGGGGCACACACACATATACACAGACACATAGACAAACAGACATACACACAGACACACAGACAAACATACAAACACACACACACATGCACACGAGCCACCCACCCACCCACGCACACCAGTCACCCACCCACCCACCCNCACACCAAACCCATACTGACGACAACTCCTAGAATACATGTCAGATCTGTTTCTCAAATATGTACATGCCTCATCTAAATCATCCTGAACCTCAAGATCCCACTCAGTAGGAACACTAGAGTTCAGGTCTAGACTTGTAGCAATTATCAAAATGTCTTCTAAGTCTAAGAGGGTATTACACAGAACCTAAGTTGATGCCTCACAAAATGCTCGCTCACTTATATAGACAAAAAACCGGCCCTACCTCCTCGATTCCTCCTGGTTTTGCCTATATAACTGAGYCCTAAGTCCATCTGCGGACTTCTCTACTACCCTACCCTGTCTATCATACATTTTACCCCCTACCTCTGAGACTTTCCCTGCTGCCTTATCCTCAAGAAACTCGAGACAGTCCAAAGCCAGATGCACGTCCCTCTTACAGTAGAAACATAGCTGATCTACTTTTCTCTTGAACTTCTTCTTCCTGGGCTGAGGAGGTGGCGATGAAGGAGATCCTACCAAGGTACTAGCAACCTCCCGCCGCTCCGTCCCAGGAACTGGTCCCCCAGACCCAGATCCAGTAGCCCAAGATCCTAGTCTGCCTCTCAAATCCTCTGCCGCTGGGACGTACTCAGGCGTGTCCAACCTCTGGGGTCTCCTCTCGAGTGTCCCTCCTGGCACTGTCGTGGGCTGCTCCTCAATCTCCTCTGGTCCATACTCAGGTGTGCCCATCCTCTGAAGTCTGCTCTCTACGGCACCCTCCGCCTTAATCCCCATCYCTCTCTCAAGAGGCTCCTCTATCCTCTGCTCAGGCGAAAACAAACTCACCTCTTCCTGCATAGTATGCACCGCCTCAAGGAGCACGCCCATGGATCTCTCTGCTGAGCCCTGAGCCGGCTCACTGCTAGATGGTGGCGGCCCCTCCTCTACTACCAAAGGTACGACTGGGTCTGCCGCCGCCACTGGCAGCGTCGCGAGCTCAGTAGGGGCTCTAAACTCGAATGCCTCTCTCTCCGCCTGTCTCCGGGCTCTCGCCTCTTCTGGCTCCAGGATAGCTCTCCCCATAGGTGGCTCCTGGCGAAGCTCTGCTGCAGATGGCTGTCCTGGCAATCCCTGTCCCGGCTGCCTCTGCTCTCCGTGCCTGCTGCTCTTTGGCCTGTCCACCCTTCCCTGGGTTTGCTGCCTCACGCTCTCGATGATAGCTGCCTGGCTGGCCACCAAGGTCCTGAGTTCCTGAATTTCCATCTCCATAGCCTCCAGGCGTACTCCATGGCTTACTTCCTTCATCTTCTTCCCTGTCAGATCGCTCTCCAATAACAAGTGTCGGTCAAAAGTGGTCTTGGCCAGGAACTTGAGTTTACGATCTAACCTCTCTTCCGCCTTCCTGGCTACCCCAARCCCGRCTCTGACTGGCGATGGAAGCTCCTCTCCTCTCTGCTCCCAGAAGTCCCTCCACATCTCAGGGATCTCTGGGCCCTTASYGGGTACGCTGGGTGGCTGACCCGGGAGTGCTCCTGCTGCTTCTAATTTCTGCCTCTCCTGTTGCTGTTCCGGGAGCTCCCCCGCCGCCTCCAATCTCTGCCTCTCTTGCCATATCTCATTTATCCGTCTTGTT